GTGATGTACTTCTTCAAGGACTTGATAAAGACAATGAAAGTAATGCTATTCTAATGTATTTATTGACACAAATCAAACCAGTAATGACATTTAATTCGTCATTCTATCGTGCATCTCGTTCATTATTAGAATTATATAATACAACTGCTGCTAGTCGTCGTCAAGCTGTATTGAATGATAATTCTACTCTTGTACCAGTTACTGTTGCTAGTCAAGCGGATGCATTATATATTTCGATGTTTTATAAAATGTTGATCGCTAGTATGTTAGATCGTGCAGTTATATGGCAAATTCAACAACCATCAACAGATAGAAAATTACTTGAAAATGCTCGAATTGATCTTGAAAATCATCTTGATGATTGGATTAACGATATTGAGCAAAATTTACCTTATACACCTATTCGTATTCGTAATCTTGTGCAAGCTCAATTAGGAACGATGCTGACAGTCTTACCAAAAATTGGATATTGATGGAAGAACTTTCGAAGTCACGCTGTCGTTCATATTAAATTCATTCGATAAATAAACTTTAAAAAGCACGTTAATATTAAAATCGATTCTCAAAACAAAAGAAAAACATAGTCAATAAAATTCATCTAAAATATCATTTTAGTCTTTATTTTTATTCAGTTGGAATGAAAAGTACTCGACCAATATTATCTCGTTTTACGTTAACTATATCTGGATATTTATATGTATCTTCATTCGTACACTGTAAAAAAAATTCGTAGAATAATAAACCCAAAAAGGGTTGATGAAAGTGTAACGTATAATAAACCCTTTTTATCGTATGGAAAATTTTCCTAAACCCTTAAAAAGGGTTTATTAAAGGGTTTAGGAAATTCCTAAACCCTTTCATATACCCTTTCAAAGGGTTTAGGAAAGGGTTTAGGAAGTTCATAAACCCTTTAAGGGTTTATTATACGTTACACTTTCAACAACCCTTTTAAGGGTTTAGGAAAATCATAAACCCTTCGATATACCCTTAGTAAGGGTATATGAAGGGGTTTAGGAAATCAATAAACCCTTACATAAACCCTCAAAATGGTTTATGACGGTCACCAAGTACGGATGGGATTGAGCAAAGGGTTTAGGAAACGTTCATAAACCCATATAAGGGTTTAGCCAAGGGTTTAGGACACACTCATAAACCCATATAAGGGTTTAGGAAATACTCATAAACCCATTATAAGGGTTTAGGAAATGCTCATAAACCCATTATAAGGGTTTAGGAAATACTCATAAACCCATATAAGGGTTTAGGAAATTCTCATAAACCCATATAAGGGTTTAGGAAATTCTCATAAACCCATATAACGGTTTAGGACACATTCAAAAAACCCATATAAGGGTTTAGAAAACACTCATATACCCATACAAGGGTTTCGGAAAGAGTGTATAAAACACACTCACACTCGAGACTAGTTTCGAGGCACACCATTTCAACCTGTTACTCTTTCCCCTAGCATAACAACAAAGAATTTTAGGAAACAGCGATACCAAAGTTCACAACTGTACATGTTCCTCTAAGCAAAAAACAAATTGTAAGTGGTTCGAATGATACTCCACAATACAGTTTAGACCGCCAAATAAGATATTTTTTTTATTAATTTGACAATCTAAAATTTATTGTGGAGTATCATTCGAACTAACAATTTGTTTTTTGCTTAGA